ATGCCCTGGGGCCCAGCCAGCTCTGCTCCTGGAATGGTGTGAAGGGGGGATTTTGGGGGGTGACTTTGGGAGCTGGGAGTGCCCCACGTGTGCCCCAGGCCGCGCCGGCTCAGGGGCAGGAGCAGTGCGGGACTGGGGCAGCCCTGCACGGCCGGGGAAACTGAGGCACGGTGTGCAAGGCAGGCTCCGGTGGGTGTTGGGATTGCTGCAGCCCCCACCCCGGGGGATTTAAGAGCTGGAAAAGCCCCGTGGATTGGCACTGGGGCACGGGGCACAGCGCCCTGGCAGTGCTGGGATGTGGCAGCCCCACGTCTGCAGGGGCCAGTGAGCACCCTGGCCTGGCCGGGCACACAGGAGGAGGATTGGTGATTCTGGGTCAGGGATGGAAGGAAAGACTCCAGCACTCCAGCTTCAGGTGGATCAGAAGGCTCGAGAAGGATCTTGGTTAGCGAGGAGCAGCGAGCTTTACAGTCTCACTGCCTGAGTGGGACCGGATTGGAATCAGAGCAGAGACACCTCACACTGCTGGTGACTGTGAACAGCACGCTGTGGAGAGCTAGAAACACTGGTTACAGGCAGAGATAACATTTATAAACTTATTTATTTATTTATTTATTTATTGTGTATATTTATTTATTTATTTATTTATTTATTTATTTATTTCAGTCTCACTGCCTGAGTGGGATCAGATTGGAATCAGAGCAGAGACACCTCACACTGCTGGTGACTGTGAACAGCACGCTGTGGAGAGCTAGAAACACTGGTTACAGGCAGAGATAACATTTATAAACTTATTTATTTATTTATTTATTTATTTATTTATTTATTTATTTATTTATTTATTTATTTATTTATTTATTTATTTATTTATTTATTTATTTATTTATTTATTTATTTATTTATTTATTTATTTATTTATTTATTTATTTATTTATCATCCCATCCCATCCCATCCCATCCCATCCCATCCCATCCCATCCCACCTTGCCAGGGACAGGGACACCTCCCAGCAGGACAGGCTGCTCCAGCCCGGCCAGCCTGGCTGGGGACACTTCAGTCCTTGTCCCCAGAGCTGCTCTGGGGCCAGAGCCTGCTGCAGCCGTGGCGCAATGCCCTCACCCTGAGGGGACGGGGGCTCAGTGGGGGGCTGCCCCAGGGCTGGAGGATGCTCTGTTCTGATTTAGAGATGGGCTGATTGAGAGGTGTTTTAAAAACTTCTATTCTATTCTTAGCCTCATGTGAAGGGTGAGACAGGGATGGGTGGGATGTGGCTCACAGGGATGGGTGGGGGGGATGTGGCTCACAGGGTTGGGGGGGACAGGGATGGGTGGGTGGGATGTGGCTCACAGGGATGGGTGGGATGTGGCTCCCAGGGATGGGTGGGATGTGGCTCCCAGGGATGGGTGGGATGTGGCTCCCAGGGTTGGGTGGGATGTGGCTCACAGGGATGGGATGGGTGGGATGTGGCTCACAGGGATGCTCTGGGTGGGATGTGGCTCACAGGGATGGGGTGGGATGTGGAATATGTCTCAAGGTGGGCAGGGCTGTCAGGTTCTCTGGGGCTCACTGGGGTGTCCGTGGCAGGGGCCAGGACACCAAGAAAAACCTCCCAAGTCACTGGGTCCAACCTTCAGCTGACAAATTCCTGTGCAGCTCCTGCCCTGCCAGGACACAGACAAAAAAACCTCCAAATCATTGGGTCCAGCCTTCTGCTGACAGCTCCTGCCCTGCCAGGACACTGAGGAAAAAATCTCCCAAGCCATGGGGTCCAGCCTTCAGCTGACAGGTTCAGTGCAGCCCCTGCCCCGCCAGGACCCGGGGTTGGTGCTGCCCCAGGCTGGGCAGGCTCTGCCCGGGAGGAGCAGCCCAGCTCCTGCCCCAGAGCAGCCCAGCTCCCACCCCGAGCGCTCCTCTTTAAAAAAATATAAAAATAATTGTTTGAATCCTATCCCTCTAAGATTCCCAGGCTCAGCCTGGGATAAGTTGCCTCTGCTCTCTCTTTGGCTGAACTGAGAGTCCCCGCAGAGGACGCCCTCTGTGCCACCCCTCTGTGCAGTGCACCCTTGGGGAAGGTGCTGCAGGAGCAGGGCAGCGGCTCTGGAAGTGCACGGTGGCACTGCCAGCTCCCTCCCTGGCACGCCTGGGGCTCCCCAGGGAGCTGCGGGGCTGGGGCAGCCTGGCCTGCTCCCTGTGCTCCCCACCTTCTCCTGGAGGGAGCAGCTCCAGGGTGAGCCGTGCTGGGCCCTGCAGGTGAGGCACAGCCACGAACCCGGTGTGCCCGCAGCCCCAGGGCACGGCCAGCCTGAGCTGGGACCTGCCAGAGCTGGGGCCCTGCGGGCAGGACAGAGCCTGAGCCTGCCTGGCGTGACACAGCCCGCACCTGTGAGAGCACTGTTACCATGATGTGCTCATGAAAACGCTCTGCCAGCATCTTTAGCCTATTCTAGCTGAGCAGCCTCAGGAAAGGAATGCAAGCAGTGACTCTCTGATGGCTGGGGAATGGGGTCTGGACATTGCTCACCAACAGCTGCACCTTGGATTGGGCCGCGTGGATCGTTTCTACTGAATGACCAATCCATGGTCCAGCTGTGTCAGACTCTGAGAGTCACAGGTTTTTGTTATTCCATTCCTTTCCATTCCATTCCATTCCATTCCATTCCATTCCATTCCATTCCATTCCATTCCATTCCATTCCATTCCAGCTTCCTGATCGATTCTTTCTCTCTATTCTTCTCCATATAGTTTTACAGTTCCTTTTTCCCAATCCAGAGGCTGAAGAAAGAGTCGGGATTCTTCGGCTCTGGTTCACAAGGTTGTTTATCATCTATTATCTAAAACATTTTCTCTGATCTGCAGGTCTGTCAAGGGCACACTGCCCGCCCCTGGGCTGCTGTCTACATTTTATACTATGAATTATGTGTTCTTTATTTATCATTATTTTCCTATAATATAATATAATATAATATAATATAATATAATATAATATAATATAATATAATATAATATAATATAATATAATATAATATAATATAATATAATATAATATAATATAATATATAATAATATAATATAATAATAATATAATAATAGGAGCAGAAGAAAAGCAAATAACCCAGCGGGTCGGTGTGCAGCACAGCCCTGCTGCTCTCTGAGCTCTCGGGGAAGATTCAGAGTTCTGCTTTCAGGGAGAAGGACAAAACCTGGTGGGGAAGATTCAGAGTTCTGCTTTCAGGGAGAAGGGGAGAAGGACAAAACCTGGCGCCGTGAGACCTGGGCTGAGCCCCAAGGAGGCTTTTGGGGGTGCTGCTGCTGCTGCCCTTCCTTGCTGGAACCCACTCTGACGCCGTTCCTGTGGGAACCCTTCACTCTGGAGCCTGCTCAGCCGGGTTCTTCCATCTGTGGGATCCTCCCTCCTCCCTGCAGCACTCCAGGGGCTGCAGATGGGCTGCAGGAGGGGCTGGGGGGCAGGGGTGTCACACTCTGGTGTCACACCCTGGTGTCACAGCCTGGGGTCACACCCTGGGGTCACACTCTGGTGTCACACCCTGGGGTCACACCTGCCCAGGGCAGCTGCGCATCTTTAGGCTTGGCTCACCATGTGGGGGAAGAGAAACCCCAAAGCCAGGGGTGCCATCAGCCCAGAGCTGGCCTGGCTGCCTACTTCTACTCTAGACCAATCCAAATGTGCCAACATCACCCAGAAGACAGAGGCTAGGAAGAAGAAGGAAGAAAGAAAGGGCAACACCCAAATCCCTCCATCTTGCCTCCCTAGACCCCCATAGTAAAAATCTTCAGAATTCCCCCTTTCACCCCGTGACAACTATTATTGTGCTACTTAAACGTTTGTGACTTGCGATTCTCCACACAAGGTTGGTCATTTGCTCCATGGGTTGAGGGCCAATTCCCCAGTGTCTTTGGCTGCCTGCTGGGGCACGTGTCACCCAGGGCACCCCTCTGGGTGTCCTGGGCTCTGACACACTCCCACCATCCAAACCCTCCCTGGAGCCAGGGCAATCCAGCCCAAACGCTGCCTCTGGAGCTGGCTGAGGCAGCAGAGACAGCGCCGATGTCTGTGAGAGCGAGGCTCCTGTGGAACGTTTCCAGAGCTGCAGCAGGAGTGATGGAGCCTTGCCAGAGCCTTCCCTGGACCCAGGGTCCTTCTGCAGGACCAGCAGCTCCCACTCCTCGCTGCCCAGGAGCTGTGTCTCTGGGAGGGGGGAGATGTGTCCCGGGGTGAAGGAGGGATGGGAAGGAGGGGTTGGACTGAGGTCAGGGTGGGGCAGGGCACGGCTCAGCATTGACTTTCTGACCATTCCTGCTGCACTGGATGGTCTTGGAGGTCACAAAGTCACGGAATCGTGGAATCCCAGCAAGCTGCTGGTTGGATGGACCTCAGAGCCCACCCAGTGCCACCCTGCCATGGCAGGGACACCTTCCACTGTGCCAGGCTGCTCCAGCCCCAGTGCCCAGCCTGGCCTTGGGCACTGCCAGGGATCCAGGGGCAGCCCCAGCTGCTCTGGGCACCCTGTGCCAGCCCTGCCCGCCCTGCCAGGAACAATTCCTCATTCCTAATAATGGTTTTGTGGATGGCTGATTTGAGCAATGATTCCCACAATAATTGCATTCACGGTGGTCGATCAGTGCCCATGGGCTGGGCTGGGGGCAGAGGGGACCCGGCAGCGTGAGGGGATTGCTCAGGGAGGTTCCAGCAGCACAGTGAGACAGTTTTCACCTGCTGGAGGTAAACTCCCAGACATCCAGGATGCCCCGGATCCCGGGAGAGCCCAGGCTGTGCCCATCTCCCGCTCAGCTCTCCTCAGCCCGGCCCAGGGTCCGGTGCCCCAGGAGAGGGGGAAATCATTGCGGTGCAAACGCTGGAAAGCAGGAAATGCCTCACCCGGGAGAGTTAGCTGCTGTTAATGGTTAATGCGCCGGGGATTTAAACCCCCCGGAGCAGGGGCCGGTGCTCCTCCGGAGGCGCGGCGAGGGAAGGACCGGGATCGCTGCCCCAGCCCCGGCAGCGCCGGGGGCTCCGGGCTCCCGCAGCCGGGGCTCCCTCGGTGAGTCCTTCCGAATCCATCGCACTTCTGTGCCAAACGCTGCGCTCGGGGCACGAGCTGGTGCAGAGACGGAAGGGAAGCACTGTGCGGTGTGAGAGGAATAGATTTCCATATTTCTGGGAGCGGAGGTGGAAAGCCTTGCTGAGCTGCTTTGTAGCCCACACACACTCCCAGGCTGCTGCTGGAGCCTGGGAATGCGCCCGGGCAGATTTCATCCCCTGCTCTGGACCCACACCGGCTCGGTTCACGGGTCTGCAGGTGGAAGAGGCGACTGGACAAATATTTGCCATGAGCTGAAGGTCTTCTCTGCCCTGAGCCACGTTTTCTGTGGGCTTTTGGTTCAGGCAGCTGAGAGTGCTTAGTGGAAGCACTCAGAAATGCAAACACGGCTGCCTTGGGCACCTGCTGCTTGCAAGGAAAGTAAATCGGGCTGCAAGCAGGGAAGGGTTATCTTTGGTCCGAATCCAACCGGTTTTCCTCCATCCCAGCCCTGGCCTGGAGCTTTTCTGATGTACGATGGGGTTTACACAGGGGATGGGAGCTGGGGGGAAGACGGGGGAAGCTCCCAAACGCAGCAGTCCTCAAAGCCCTTCCCACCGCAGGAGGGTTTGCAGCTTGGCTGGTTCGCATTATTCGGATCTTGGAAGATCCCCTCAGGCCATCAGTCATGGGACAGTGCTTCCAGGTGGGGACGGTGCTCCCAGCTCCGAGGGTTTGCAGCTTGGCTGGTTCGCATTATTCGGATCTTGGAAGATCCCCTCAGGCCATCAGTCATGGGACAGTGCTTCCAGGTGGGGACAGTGCTGCCCCAGCACTCCAGGAACTGGGAAAACTGAGCTCAGAGCCTGGCAGGGCTCCAGAGCCCAGCATCAGAGCAGAGCCCTGCACTTGGGGCGTCCCTCTGGGGTGTTTCTGCTCTGGGCCACAGTTTCTGTGTCCAAGGATCACTCTGTGCAGTCCACCACGTCTTTGTCCCTCTTAATGAAGGAGTGGAAAAGGCATGAGGCAAAAGGCAGGGAAAGAAAGGGCTCCCTCTGCTCCAGAGCCAGGCTGGCAGAGCTGGGGTTGCCCAGGCTGGACTGGGGTCACACTCTGGTTGACCCTGGAGCCCCTTGCAGTGCCTGAAGGGGCTCCAAGTGGGAATTGTGACGGGTGGCCACAGCCCTCAGAAGCACAGCTGGATGTCAGTCACATCCCAGACACTGCCCAACATCGGCACTGGGGAAGGCTTTATTCCTGTATTTGGGATTTTACAAGGAACTTTGGTCTGAGCAGGGTGAGAAACTGTGTCACCTCACCTCCCTGGAGGAGCCTGGAGTCCCAGCACAGACACAGCTCTGTGTGTGCTCACAGATGGAGCCGCTGGCTGGGACAAGGCTGAGGGTGACCTCTGTGACTGCTTCTGTGACTTTTACAAGGGTTTTGTGGCAGTGGGAGAGCAGAGCTGGAAAAAGACCTGACCTAGCAGTGGGAGAGCAGAGGTGTTTTCCTTCCAGACCCACTTTGTAGGACTGGCAGAGCAAACAGGGTCCTTTGTAGAGAACACAGCCAGGGCACCCCGTGGGGGGAAGGCAGGAGCCTTGTCACTTGTGCCCTGACCTGCAGCGTCTGTCAGGCGTCACGGGCAAACAGGGGTGGGTTATTCCTTCTCCTCCCTGCACAGGGCCGAGCACGGGAGCGCCATGCACGAGCTCAACGAGAGCAGCTTCGACCCCATCACCTTTGTCCTGACGGGCATCCCGGGCATGGAGGAGTCCCACGTCTGGATCTCCGTCCCCTTCTGCCTGATGTACCTCACGGCCGTGCTCAGCAACCTGCTGCTGCTCTTCGTCATCGCCACGGACCGCAGCCTCCACGAGCCCATGTACCTGTTCCTGGCCATGCTGGCCCTCTCCGACCTGCTGCTGTCCACCACCACCGTGCCCAAAATGCTGGCCATCTTCTGGTTCGGCGCCAGGGAGATTTCCTTCGACGCCTGCATCACGCAGATGTTCTTCACCCACTTCAGCTTCATCGTGGAGTCCTCGGTGCTGCTGGCCATGGCCTTCGACCGCTACGTGGCCGTGTGTGCCCCGCTGCGCTACGCGGCCATCCTGACGCCCTCGGCCATCGCCAAGGTGGCGGCGGCCGCCGTGGCCCGCGGCTGCTGCATCATGTTCCCGCCCGTCTTCCTGCTGAAGCGGCTGCCCTACTGCGGGCACAACGTCATGCCCCACACCTACTGCGAGCACATGGGCATCGCGCGCCTGGCCTGCGCCGACATCCGCGCCAACGTGTGGTACGGGCTGACCACGGCGCTGCTCTCCTCGGGCCTGGACGTGGTGCTCATCGCCGCGTCCTACGCGCTGATCCTCCGCGCCGTGTTCCGCCTGCCGTGCCCCGCCGCCCGCCTCAAAGCGCTCAGCACCTGCGGCTCCCACCTCTGCGTCATCCTCATGTTCTACGTGCCCGCCTTCTTCTCCTTCCTCACGCACCGCTTCGGCCGCCAGATCCCCAGCCAGGTGCACATCCTGCTGGCCAACCTCTACGTGGTGGTGCCGCCCATGCTGAACCCCATCGTGTACGGGGTGAGGACCAGGCAGGTCCGGGAGCGCGTCACCCGCCTGCTCTGCCCCGCGGGCGCCGAGGGTCCCTGCAGGGCCTGAGCGGGCAGGGGGTGAGGGATGGGCTCTGCACAGCAGCAGCCAGGCTGCAGCGCCTCTTGGCCTGGAGGAGCCGCTCTGCCCGCGGCTTCCAGGGCAGCTGAAGCAGCTGTGATTGCTGGAAACGTGGGCTTGGCTCAGCAGCATCTCCACTGCTGCTTCCCCTCAGTTCCTTCACTGGCAGAGACTGCGTAGGGTCAGCTGGGAAGCACCCAGGCACTGGGCCCTGCTGGCTCACTGTCACCTGCTACAGCTGGTTGTGTTTGCTGTCCTACAGCTTCGTTTCTGCCTGTTCGCCTTTCTAACAGTCCAGGCCATGAACACCTTGCTGGTTTCCAGACTGAAGCATGGCTGGATGGGCCCCACAGTGCTCACCGTGGCACAGAGGGGGTTTGTCCTCCTGCCCTCATTGCTGAGGGACCCTGGCCCCTCCTGCTGCTGAAGGTTTCCCTGCTGAAGTGCCCCGAGAGCTTGGGAAAGGCTTTATTGTCCTGTGTTTGGGGGAAACGTCCCTTAAACCATGACTCCCAAATGCAATTCAAGCCTTCAGAGTGGTGTGTAAAGGGACAGTGGTTTCCTGCACCCAGCACATCCCACAGGGGTGCTTTCTGTCTCGGCAGAGCAGCTCTGCCTCACCCAGGCAGTGACCAGAGAGTTTTGGCTGAGGAGCTCAGGGAGCCCTTTCTGGAGGCTCCGCAGCTCTCACAGGAGTGGGGTGGTGTGGCCCTGTGTCACAGTGAGGCCCCAGGTGTGCCCCTGGTGTTGCCCCTGAGGGGTACCAGACCAGCCATTTCTGCAGAACGTCCCTCTGCCCTGAGTGGGGGCAGCCAGCACTCCCAGTCCCACAGCCTGGCCGGGCTGCAGAGCTGCCCCAGCCCTGCCCAGGTGGGAAGGCACTGCTGCACACCTGGAGGCTCCCATGTGGAGGGGTGGGGGCCTGGGGAGGGGCTCTGCTGGGATCTGGGCTCTGAAATGCTGTGCCCTGCGTCGGGGACCTGCTGGGCCATCCTGGCTGGGCTGATCTAACCCCTGCTCCTGGGGGAGGGCAGGAGCCGTGGGTGCCCCAGGTGTGTTCAGAGCTGAGCTGAGACCAACGCAGCCAGCTCTGCTCCATCACAGCAGTGATGCTGCCACGGCTTCAAAGGAAAAGGGGAAGAGAGATTCGTGATTTCAGATCAAACCCTCCAAAAAGTTTTTCGCTTTTGCAACACATTTCTTCTTTTCTTTGTTTTATTTTCCTCTGATTTGATCAAAGGTGGCACCCTGTGACGGGCACAGGGGAAATGAAAGCCTGTTCATTAAAGGCTGTTTGTCTGCCAGCAGAGATAACGGAGCTGGTACAAAAGCTGCTCGTGTCACTGGGCTTTTAATGTCCCCAGAATGTTTGTGTTTGCCTTGGCTTTCTTAGCAAAAAGGGAAAAAAAGAGTGTTTGCACAGAGCAGCCGTGTGGTTTTTGATAGGAGACGGAGCTGTGGGAAGGGAAATGTGTCAGGAGCACGTTGCTGTGGGCAGCTCTGAGAACAACTGAGCTGCACCTGGATTTGTCAGTAAATGGGGCTGGAGCAGCCTGGGACAGGGGAAGGTGTCTGTCCCTGCCGTGGCAGGGGTGGGTGGGATGGGATTTAAGGTCCTTTCCAGCCCAAGCTGTCCTGTGCCCCCATGGCTCCATGGATCTCCTGCTCCTCGGGTTTCCCAGGGTGGTGTTTCACCATGGAGGAGGCAGATTGAACTCGCTGCTCTTGGCTGGTGAGGGGGCCAGGTCAGGAGCAAAGTGCCCAGGGAAATGTCCCCAGTCAATGAATGACCAGCTGGGCCATTCCTGGCCAGGGGCCGTGCCTAATGGGGCATTAGCCAGCCGAGCAGGGAGATTTATACTTCAGGGTGGTTAAAATGTCAGCTTAATAACTCACACACGGTGGGAACCACGGCTCCTTCATTTTTCCCCCAAATCTGGAGACACCCATTGTGTTTTTAGCTCAGTTCATGGCTTTTGTAAGTGTGTTCGGGTGGCAGGGATCTTTGCCTGGTAGGGAGGAAGGGAGGGAGGAAGGCTCCCTGGCTGTGGCACAGAGTTAGAACGAGGTGAGCTTCAAGGTCCCTCCCCACCCCAGCCATTCACCATTCCATTATTCTGTAATTTCAACGGGTGCTTTTCCCAGATAGCACATGAAAGATGTAACTGGAATCTCAGAAATCTTTGGGAAATAAGTGGAAGCCACCGAGAAACCCTCAGTGAATGTTTCTGCAGGTGCAGAAGGAGCTGAGCCTGCCCTGGAGGGGAGATGGAGCTGTGTGAGTCAGGCTCTTGTGTGTCCGAAAGGAAACGCTGCCGGGTGGCATTGCTGTGCTGCAGGGACAGGGACAGGGACAGGGACAGGGACAGGGACAGGGACAGGGACGGGACACGGCTCGGGGTCTGCCAGGCTCCAGTGCCCGTTTCCACTCGGCTCTGTTGCTGCTCACAGACTTTATTTCTGCTCACAGACTTCATTGCTGCTCACAGACTTCATTGCTGCTCACAGACTTTATTTCTGCTCACAGACTTTATTTCTGCTCACAGCGGTGCTCGGTGGCTGTCCTGCATCCCATCTCGCTGCTGTGATCTCTCCTCTCCCATCACTGCAGGGCAGGGGCTCCTGGCAGGGATGGAGGGGCAGGGGGGGTCCCCTCAGTGCCCCTCAGTGCCAGCGGGGGCGTGGAGCCCCCCGGGATGGGTGAGAGCCCAGCAGGAGCCCTTGGGTCAGGATGCCCCGTCCCTGGAAGCGCTGCAGGCCAGGCTGGATGGAGCTGGGAGCAGCCTGGTCCCCTGGAAGGGGGACAGCCAGGATGATTCCATCATTCTGTGCAGTGTTAATTTAATAAAATCCTGTGGGAATAAATCACACGGACTCCATTTTCTTCATGGTGGAAAAAGCCTCTTTATTCACACAACTTATTTTTATGTAATTTCCACAGACTTCGTGTGTGACTCCAATTGGTCAGGAGCTTTCTTGCCAATTACTTTATTGGTTAATAACAAGTTGTTATTCTGTATTGATCGGTCACTCAAACCCCTGGTGTGTACCTGCAGGGACATTTGTTTGTGATAGATAGTTCTCATTTTTCTATCTAACGGTGCAAAAACAGTTTGTACAAGTGCTGGTTGCTTTTCACCCAGGAGCAGATTGTTATGCTAACGAGCTGCTCACACCAGGATGGCTTTCACACGGGAGCTTGCAAAGGGCTGGCTTTGGCACGGCCAGCCACTGATCCAGGAGAGCAGGCTTGATTTTACGAAGCCTTTCTTTATGATTTTTGTACCTTACTACAACAAAGTCCTGCTTCACAGACAGGCAGTAATAAACAGCACCACCTCCTTGCCTGAGATGAGAAACTGAAATGAGAAACTGAAATGAGAAACTGAGCCTTCGGGGCGAGTTTTGGGTGACTGGTTTGGTCTCATGGGCTGGAGATTCCTGCTGGTCCCTCGCAGCTCCCTGGAGGGTCCTGGCAGTCAGGATCTGCTCACTGCAGTTTCCCTGCTGGCGGTCTCTGCACAGTTCTAGGAGGTCCAAAAAATCAGAAATGGGGACAAAATCACCTAAGATGTTTTTAGCATGAATGGCTGCTGTCCTCCAGCTCAGAGCTCCCCATTTCCCCTCCACCGTGGTTCCCAAAAAGTAAAAAGTTCTGTGTGTAAAGCACTCGCAGGCTGGGCAGGAGCAGGGCAGAGCTGCCAGGGGCTGGGCAGGTCCCTGGCAGCCTGGCACAGCCAGGCACAGCCCTGGAGCCCCTCAGGATGCAGGGGCAGGACTGTGCAGCACCGTGAGTGAGGGGTGGTGAGGGCTCGCTGAGCTCCGCAGGGCAGCCTGGGGCTCTGCAGGGTCTGCAGTCAGGGAAACACCCAGGGAAGGACCTGGGGGGTCCCTGAGCCCTTCCCCACAGGCTCAGTGTGAGCGCAGCCCCCTCCCCACCCCTGTGCCCCGGGCACTCCGGGCTGGGTGTGAGCACGGGCTGGGGCAGGGGGGTGACACAGCAGGGCTGGGAGCTGGCACTGCTCTTCCAGCCTCTGCAGCATTTAACCTTGGCTCTGGCAGGTGCAGAGTGGCTCTCCTGGAGCGTGCCCAGGGCAGGGAACGGAGCTGGGAAGGGGCTGGAGAATTGCTGAGGAGCTGGGAAGGGGCTGAGGCTGGAGCAAAGGAGGCTCAGGGGCCCTTGTGGCTCTGCACAAGTCCCTGGCAGGAGGGGACAGCCGGGGGGACAGCAGCTCTGCTGCCAGGGAACAGGGACAGGACAGGAGGAATCATCCTCAAGCTGTACCGGGGAGGTTCACTTTGGGTATTGGGGAAATCACTTCCCAGGCAGGGAAATCACAGCCCTGGCACAAGGGACAGGAGCAGAGGGAACGGCCTCAGGCTGGGCCAGGGCAGGCTCAGGGTGGATTTTGGGACAATTCTTTCCTGGGCAGGGCTGTGCAGCCCTGGCACGGCTGCCCAGGAGGTTTGGAGTGCCCATCCCTGCAGGGAGTTCACAGCCCATGGATGTGACACCTGGGGACACGGGTCAGGGCTGGCCTGGGCACTGCTGGGGATGGCTGGGCTCGGGGCTGGGAGGGCTTTTCCATCCTCAGTGACTGGTTCTGAGCTCTGCTGTAGCTCAGCAGCTGCAGGCAGGAGATGCTCTGGTCTCCAAGGCTCCAGCAGCAGAAGTGCCAGCTCCCAGCCAGGATGAAGGAGCCAGGGCAGTGCAGGGCACCCTGATAAAGCAAACTGCCCGACATTTACCATTCCCAAAGGCGTCCCAGCAGTCCAGGTGTCCGTGCCAGGAGCAGTGCTGGCTGTGAACCCCCTCCCCTGGGCTGGTTCAGCTGCTCTTTGGCCTTTTCCTTGCACCCCACCTGGCACAGGCTGCCAGAGGCTCTGCAGTGCCCTCCCCAGCCCTGGCAGTGCCCAGGGCCGGGCTGGGTGGGCTCTGAGCAGTGGCACAGCGTCCCTGCCATGCAGGGGTGCAAGGAAATGGACTTCAAGGTCCCCCCAGCCCAAACCTTTGTGATTCTGTGATTCCCCAGCTCCTGCAGGTGAGGAAGGGCATGCTGTGGGTCAGCACCCAGCCAGGCAGGATGCCTGTCCTGCACCTGGGGGTTCCTGGGCTGGAGAGGGCTCTGCATGCTGGGGGCACTGCTGGGGGCTGGGTCCTGCTCTCTGCAGGGAGGGAGGGCAGCCCCCAGCCCCCTTCCCTGCACCCTGCCCTGCCCCAGACCCCTGGTGCCCTCTGGTCTCTGCCCACCCTTCTCTTGCACTGCTTGCCTGGTGCAGATGCCAAGCAAACCTTCCCCAGGTATCTCTGGCTCAGCCCAACCAGGGGAAAAAAAAAAGAAAGAAGAAGAATTTTCTGACTTAGGTCAGGAAAGCCATAAATTCACGTGCTTAAATTTTTTAACAGAGAAATGGGATTATCAGAGAAATCTGAGACAGCTTCATTTGCCTTTAGATTCAAATAAAATAATGGCAAAGTGAATCTGAGACTTGATCAATAAAGTGAAAAAGGGCAGGAATGTAATTAACAGCAATCAGTGCTTCCGTGGAGACACGGAATTTCATTTTCTGCTGCATCCACGTGGGGTGATAAAGTTACCCCAAGCCTGGAAAAAGTTATCCCAAGGCTTGATGCAACCCGAGTATATTTATATTCCCCACATTGTGACACAGAGCTCACTGTGTCACACAAACAGATTAATAAATGTCAGTGCAGCAGCTGCTGGGGGGCTCTGGCCAGCTGCAGACCCTCTCTGCAGGGCAGGTCTCATTTCTGTCAGTTCCTGGGGAGGGCCTGCAGGACTGGCCCTGATGTTGTGATTGGTATCAGTTGTGTAAACACAACCCTAAAATCGTTGC